GTTTTTACCATAGTTGCCCAAAAAACTAGAATATGATAGTTTTCATCTTGTTTTTTCAGCCACTTGCACTGGATTTTCTGTGAGTATGATAAAAATACCCTGTGTGGCATAGTCAGAAGACTGAATAATCAGCAGTTGTTTATAGGCAGAAAGGATGAGCAACATTTTTTTTCTGTTTATGATTTTTCACCCAAGAGTCTGTTTCTGATTCTGTACCTAAGAACTTATCTGATCAAGAATAGATTTTTCACTCAGTATATTCATACATGTTGAAACCAGATACCTTCTCAAATGTTCAAATCATTAGATTTCCAAAACTGAATGGAGTTTAAGATGGCTTACTTCCTTTTTCACTATGATTTCGGTGAGAAATTATGAGGACAAGGAAACTTTTAAGGGAAAGATTTTGGTGTGGCTGTCCTTCTCTTACAAAAGTTTGGAAGAAATCAAACTCCACTTGGGAAAAAATACAGTGGTTTTGTTTTGAAGGAAGAGACACTTAAAACTAGCTCTCCCTGCTGTGTGTCAGTTTGGTAAGCAATGATATCCTGCTTTGCTTATCTAACAGCATCAACTGATAGAGGCTCCATTTATCATGTACAGAGGAATTGTGTCGCTGTTTTGTGTAAAGCATCTATGCAGACAATGGCATATTCAGACTAGTTTACTGTAGTTACTCTACATTCAGGCAGAAGGAGCAAAGTGCAACAGTGTTTTCCTGATTTCAAATGTTTTTTATTCTAATTACATAATTGGCTTCCATTTCATATTTCTGTTGGTGTTTTTTTGTTTGGTTCATCTGTGCTGTGGGTATTATTATTATTATTACCTATGAATCAAAATCCAGATATTTTGGTTGCCTAGTTTCATTCTTTCACGATGGTTGCTCTGACATTATGTACTTTGAAAATACATACGAGTTCTGTTCAAAGTATATTCAGGTGTGAGAGTTGGCATGTAGAAAAATCCCCCTGTTGAATAAATTTTAAGTTCATCTAAGGTAATTTTTTTCTTTTTTTACCTTTTAATTTTATTGAAACCACAAGCCAAGCTCTGTAATCCTTGGGGCTACGGTTACTAATGTTGATGGCCAAGTCTTTAAACATTTTATGGTTAGTGAAAATAAATTTGTCATTACAAACCATTTATTAATTCCCTTTTACTTGCCTCACTTTTTTTTAGGTTTTAATTGTGTCCTGCAATCTGCGTATCAGTTAACAGCAAAAGCTCTTGGCTGGAAGTGTTGCTTATCTAGGAATTTTAATAAAATTATTTTTCAAAGCAGGAATGATTCTTTTATCTTGCATTACTTTCACCTTGAGCGACTTTCTTCTCTTATTCCAATTTTCACTTCTTTGTATCTATTTTTTGGCTTTGAGTTTGTTGGGGTTTCTTTTTGTCTGTTTGTATTTCGCATGCCTAAGGAATATGTGGCACTGATTTTACTTTGCTTGCATGTAGGTTTTATCTTGGTGCACTTTATGTCTGTCATATTATGAAAATCTTATAAATACAGGGTTTAGAGGCCAACATTGAGGATAATTTTTTTTCTGAAAAATGAATATAGCTTGCTCTCTGGAAAAAAAAAAAAAGGGATTTGCTAAAGAATACTGTATGTATACTTCATTATCAAATATATATATTGGGGGGGTTTTTTTGCAGTTAACATCTCAAACACAAATATATGGCTATTTTTAGTTTTTTCTTTTCTTAGTGTAGCAATACAGTCTTAAACTTATTTCCGGAATGAAGTCCATAGAGGAATAATACCACTTTTGAAAACTAAATGTATTTGCACAACTCAGACTATTAAATACCAGTTATGTTATTCATCAATGCAACTACAGTTTAAAAGATTTAAACATTTATCAGTAAAACAGCCAAAGATAATGACAATAACATATCCATGCAAATATTCTTAACTAGAAGAAAAAGGGAGAGATGATTAAAAAGAAATCTACTGTGGAGTTTGATGGGAATAAATCATAGAATCATAGGATCATAGAATCATTTAGTTTGGAAAAGAACCCCAAGTTCATTCAGTCCTGCTGTTAACCTGATCCTGGCAAATCCACCCCATCCCTAAGTACTGCATCTACACTACTTTTAAATACCTTCAGGGATGGTGACTCACCCACTTCCCTGGGCAGCCTGTTGCAATGCTTGACAACCCCTTCAGAGAAGAAATTTTTCCTTATATCCTATCTAAACCTTTCTGGTACAACTTGTGCCATTTCCACTTGTTTTACTGCTCATTATCACTTCCCTGGTCCTGCTGGCCATACCATGACTGATACAGACCAGGATGCCATTGACCTTCTTGGTCACCGGGGCACACAGTGGCTCATGTTCAGCTGACTGTTGACAAGCACCCCCAGGTCCTTTTCCTTTTGGCAGATTTCCAGTCACTCTGCCCCCCACCTGTAGTTGCCAGTTGGGGAGGACTGGGCACTTGGCCTTGTTGAACCTCATACCACTGGCCTTGGCACATTGATCCAGCCTGTCTAGATCCCTCTGCAGAGCCTTCCTGCTCTCCAGCTGATAAACACTCATGCCCAATTTGGTGTTGGGGGCCAGCTGACTGAGAGTACACTCGATCAGAGAATCACAGAATCATTTAGGTTGGAGAAAGGCCTCCAAGTCCAACCTTTGAACGATCACACCAGATCAGCTAGACCATGGCACTAAGTGCCACATCCAGTCATTTCTTGAACACTTCCAGGGAGGGTGACTCTACCACTTCCCTGGGCAATCTGTTCCAATGTTTATAACTTTTTCCATGAAGAAATCTTTCCTGATGTCCAATCTGAATCTCCCCTGGCACAGCTTGAAGCCATGTGCTCTCCTCCTGTTGATAATTGCCTAGGAGAAGAGACTGCCCCCCCACCTTGCTACAACTTCCTTTCAGGTAGTTGCAGAGAGCAATAAGGTCACCCCGGAGCCTCCTCCAGGCTGAACAACCCCACTCCCTTAGCCAGTCTTCGTAGGCCTTACCCTCCAGACCCTCCACCACCTTCATTGCACTTCTCTGGACATGCTCCAGCACCTCAATGTCATTCTTGAAGTGAGGAGCCCAGAACTGAACACGGTACTCAGAGTGCAGCCTCACCAATGCAAATCTCCTTGTCCAGATCATGATAAATGTAGTAAACAGGACTGGCCCCAATATTGAGCCCTGGGAAACCCAGCTAATGTCTGACCACCAGCTGGATATAATTCCAGAGCTGGATGTAACTTCACTCACCACGACGACTCTCTTGGCCTGGCCATCCAGCCAGTTTTTCACTCATTGTCCAGTGCACCCATCCAAGCCATGAGCAGCCAGTTCTCCTGGTAAATTTTTTGAATCTTGCACTTCTGCTGTTTCCTTATAAGCACCTCAACAAACCTAATATGTGATCATCACAATGCTTTGGAATCCTGCCTTTGATCTGAGACATCTTGAGTTTGTTCAGATGCTGCTGTATTTTTGAAACCACAATTAATTATTCATGCAGTAAGGCCAGTTCTAGCGCTTTAAAGACACTGATGAGCTTAGTACACTTCCCTCAGACTGTGGAATGGATGCCCCCTGTCTCTACTCATGCAGGTGTGCCACTAGAACTCATCATTCCGAATCTTTCAGTGTCGCTGCTGAGCTTGGGAGCCTCTGTTTCTCCTGAAACTTCCAGTGGAGCTGCTCATGAGAGCACTCACAGCCCTGCTTTGTTAGGGTGATCTAAATGAGTTTAAGCAGTAAGTATTTGCTGATCCAGCTCATTTTGACAAAAGCCTTTTAGACCATGTTTATGCAAGCAGGCAGATTTAGGAAATAGTATCTGGCAGAGGAGCACTGATGAGCAGTAAAGGCTTTAGCTGGTGAATGTGTCCTTTTTCACTAACATGAGGTTTAAATGCTTTGTCTATCTTCAGTGTAGCTGCAATGCTGCTGATAGTTTTGGCTTGGCACTGATTAAATTAGTCCTGTAAGACAAGAAATCAATTAGTACTTCTCAAACAATTTGGCAGATTTGCAGGGTTGAGTTCTTATTTTTTTGGGGGAGGGGGCTATAATATTTTGTATATCACAATTTAAAAATAAACTGATTGGTTTAGTGGAGGAGAAGAAATTTGTTTTCCCATCCCTAGGTAATACCTCTAGAATGCTGAAACTGAATCAATGAGATTTTAGGAACAAAGTTATGTGTTGGAAAACCAGCCTGTGTTATTTTCTTCAGTGTTCAAAATCTTAAATAGTAGTAAGTAAGTATATGCCACTGGATAATGGTATATAAAACCCAAAAAGCTAATTGTACCTTCTTGTTCATTACTGGTGTTATGGTTTATGTCCGTGTGCTGCTAATTAAGTGTTGAGCATCAAAAATCAAGCAATGACCTTTAAACAGTATCTTTAAAAGTATTTTCTATATGCTTATGTAATATCTTAGGGTGAGCTTTAATGGTTTGCGTAGCAGTAGAGAAGAAGGAAATGAAAACGTTGTTATCAACATGTCATAATTTTTAAAGCATAGTTAAAAGTTAGAATTTAAGGGACTTAGACACTAAAGAGAAGCTGCTGTCATTTAGTAGTGCAACATCAGCAATATTTTATATATACATTGAGTCTCATTTCAGCATTTAAACTGATTTCACAGTAAGCAAAATAAAATGCTTTCTAGTTTTATTAAATGGATTTTTATGCTCTTAAGTTAAACCTCTCTGATTTGCTTCTGTGCATCAGCTGTTATTTGCGTTTTTTCTTGCAACAACAGTATATATCCTGACCTGCTCAGAATGCCTTCCATAAGTTACTTTGAAATTCCATTAAAAATTATCTTGGGGGTGACTTACAGTTCCCGAGGTTTGGCATATGTTGTTAGAGTTTTTAAGGAAAGACAGTTTGGAAGATCCAAGTTCTGGGAAGCAGCAAGCTATACAGAGTAAAATAATTCATTTTGAGGCAAGGAATTATGTTTATTAGCACTTCCATTAAGATGAAGGTTGGCCTTTTAATTCAGAGTCAGAACTTAGTGTTGAATGATGAATTATACTTGAAAGCTTCTTGGAACTAGATGTTGCTTTTAGTTTTGTTTTTAGGAAACCATTAAGAAATTATTTAAATTCATAGAGAATTAAAGCATGTTTAGCAGCTACCTGAACTGTATTTTCTGGATGTTGATGTTGAATATGACTATTTTTGGAGTTGATGTACTTTGAAAATAGGTGATGTCAGACCAGAGCCTTCAGGATCATTGGAAAATGCTGCCTGGCCATTAACATGTGTATAAATTTGTGCAGGGTTCTCTTTCGTACTTGTGACCTAAATAGCTGAATCAGTTTTTACACAAGGATTGAAGGAAAGGGGAATAAAATGAAAAACAAGCTAAAAAAATACAACAAAAGTTCCAGAAAAATACTCAGAAATCTCCCAAGCCGAGATGTGCTGTACTTGTATAAGAAGGATCAGAAAGCAGAGCTTGGGCACATGACCTCAAGCTACTCAATGCAAATGAGGGAGAATATCCTCAGGTTTTTGGCACAAAGGGTTTCTTGCTGTTCGAAGCATGCTATCAGCTAAACCAGTTCTGGATGCAGTGCAAACTTTGGCAGTAGAAGAAATGGTTGGATACTCTCTGAAGATTGAAGGCGATGAGGTAAGATATGGCTTAAAATGAGTTGAAAGTGAAGGATCCAAGCTGAGTCAGTCATTTAGATTGTGTTAGTATTGCATAGTGTAATTTTTTTCTTTCAAGGTTACAAAAAGGAAAATAAGTGTATACACATTATCTTGTTCCTCTTAGCTGATGCTGATAAAATGTATTATTCCAGTTTGATGAAAATATTAAATTATTGAAGATACAAGTTTTAACATTGTATAAAATCTGTTTTGCTGTGTCTGCATGTTTTTCCCCTTTCTAGGAAAAGTGAACTTTTTTTCCTGCATATAAATGATTGTAACTTTATAAATAATGGCAAATGCTTCTTTATGTTTCAATTTTGTATATCCAAAGTGCTGCTAATCACAAAGGGCTTGACAGTCTGCTCACTGGATTTGTTCCGGAGAGAAAATTTTGAAGTAGTATTTAATGCAAAACAAAGCCATTTGTCTAACAAAAGCCTTTTAATGTAAAGCTGCATGCTCTGAAGAGATTATTGGTTAAATTTATATAATTTTATGGTATGATTGTGGCTACTTTGAAATCTGCAAGCCTCTCATTACCTTCCTAGGTTTTCCTGCTACAGAAATATATCCCTTACATGTACATAGAAATTAGGATTGATGATACTCTCCCTACAGTAATGCTTGTGGGAGAACTTGAAAAAAGGTTTGTCTTGTACTATCAGCCATGTACATGCTAAGAATAATTTTTTGTGGTCTGATTTCTTAAGTAGGAAAAGAGTTAAACTGAATCACAGATGAACATCAGATGTGAGCCCCAAGAGCCGT